TCCGCAGCGGTACTCTGGGGGGAAAAATTCATACAATACAAATGTATTTATGACATGTTTTGAATAAAAACAATTTTAACCATGCATTTATAAATGCATGGTTTAATAAAAAATATTTGACAGCTACCCGGAGCCTATTTTTTTTTTTTTTTTATAAAGAAATGCCAAACGTGAGGAATTGACGCACCTCGGGCATCTTGTGACGACACACCAGCAACATGAAGACACCGCCCAGGATGATGCCGATCCCCATCAGTATGAAAGGAACGTTTACCAGCACGTTCTGCTCCATCAGCACAGCGTTCAGCTTGGCCACCGATGAGTCATCGATGACGACGCTCTGAGGACGCCAGGAGGGTTACGCGGGCGTGGCTCGTTTGTGTTTTGCTATATTGAAGGTAGCCTGAATTTTGGGCCCAGTTCGTCCCTGGCGATGACATACTGATGTGTGTGTATGTGTTGGTGTGTGTGTTTGCGTGTGGGGATTCCTGCATTTACCTCATTCAGGTAGAGTACAGGCAAAATCACGGTGGTCACGTTTCCTGTTTGGCTGAAAGGTAAGGGAAAAAAAAAATCCACAATTAGGACTGGGACTGCAAATTTCAAGGAATTTTATCTTTCCTGAGGATTTAAGGCAAACACCGAAAATGGTAAGAATAGAGATGCACCATTGTGAGTTAAACAGGTGAGCTAAAAGGGGATGCGACTTTTGGATCATGCATTGCATACAGTGGTTACAAAAAAAAAAAAAAGTTGATGAGAATGTTAAGTGTACTCATGACTCCCTTACCTGAACGTGTCCATTTTCTCAACGTAGACGTTGACCTGGAGACGTTTGGCAGCTCGAAGGACGACTCCGGTGAGCTGCAAAACATCATGGAGTTTCTGGTTAATACATCGGGGCTCCAGACCCGTTTCAACACCACAAGATGATTCTATGTTGCAAATATTTTCAGCAAAAGTGTCTTCCCAATGATCCGGTTGCTGTATGTGCATTCATCGAAACAGGAGGTGATTCTCCAACACATTGGACTCCAATGATGTTTCAGTGAGATTTGTGAACTAACTATACAAAAAGTAGGGCCGCCGTAAACACGATGGCGAGCGGGGCGCAACCAGCTAACCTTGTATCAAAGTTCAGAAGCCAACATGACGTTAACGTGGCGGCGTTCGTCTTGAGCTACTGTGCTGTTGAATTGTTGTTATCTCGAATGCAGCCTTGTCGTAAGGACAACAGGGAGTTACGGCAGGTGATAAGAGCTACTGGATTATCTCCAGCACAGCTGCCTCATGGAGGAACCTTACAAAATTCACGCAGTGCAACATCTAGTGGTTATGACGAGCCAAATCTTTCGGTAGACCTGCACAAGTAGAAACTGTGCATCTGTCTCGAGAGCACTTGTCCTTCTTCAGGGTTGCAGGTGTGCTGCAGCCCGTTCCAAGCGATTAAACATATCAGTGTGCTGTTTTGAAGGAAAGCAACTTGACCGATAACCGAGGAACTTCAATACATTCAAAAGAGCGTGTATCGCTGACCGGATTGAGATCAATGAAGGTCTGGTGGTACTCCTTATGGGGCCTCATGCCGAATACCGCCCGCACAAATTTCTCATCTCCCTGGTAGAAGTGCGGCGAGGACATTATGATGGGCGCACCTGAACGCAGCACAAGATATCCCGATTAATGAAGAAACGGGACATGCGCGTTTAAAAGCGACACTTCCTCACTTTGTTTGCAGGGCTTGACGTTCAGGACGCCCGAGCCGAGACAGTTGTCGGCGGGGACGCAGAAACCCGCATTGGACGGGTTCACCGATGAGTTGGCGAAAACCTGGCTGGGGGGAGTGAATCGATACCCGGGGATGCCTTTCACCACCACATCCTTCTCAAACACAGCGTATATAGACCTGAGATGAGAGGACGATATTCATGAAGCTAGCGCCATCCCGAATCAAGATTCTAAGCCTATTGTGATCATATGCTGACACAAAAACATCTGTGTCCGTCACCTCCACGGGTGCGATTCCTCTGCTATCATGTCAAAGCCAAATGGTAAGCAGAGCTGCAGTCACTTATGCTGGATGCCCAGATTAGCATTTGCAAACAGCATTCACTTCCAAACGTGCCCAACTGCGAATATGCAGAAGTCGACTGTAGTTTTCAACGTAATATCACCAATCAGCACCAGATGGCAGACATGTCTTAGTTGTGCTTACACTTGGTCTTTCACTGCCCTATACTACAATGTGTGTCGGCCTCATATTTCTTTGTGGATTTGGAATGATATGCAGGACAAGCAAAGTACTTCATTGACATTACAATTTTGAGCGAGTTGATTTTTGTGAAAATAAATAAATAAATGAATTAGTTCTTGCACTTAATGTTAATTTGTTGTTCAGCAGTTTGGTGCCATCCTTGAATGGTCATTTTTATGCACTTGAAAAAAAAGATCTGTATGTTGGGGTTGTTTTGTTGTGTTTTTGCTTCAAACTGCTTGATGTTTCGTTAGTCCGCGACAGCAATTTATTTGCCCATCCCTTTCTTTCATCATCCTCTGTGAACAAGGAAGTAGCCCACAAAACTGTAGAAGGACAAACAACAATATGCCGTTTCACTTTTTTTCTCCCCTCACGTTTGTTACCACTTCAACATTAGCGGGGCATCAAAGAGAAATTTCTACTCGTAGCACCGTAGAAGCTGAACGGTCTCCAAAGCTGATTTCTGTCTTTCAAATCGCTTGATAAGTTTCGCAATCTTCGTTCGAAAACACAAACAGAGGAATGCCGCATAATGAAGAAGGAGAGGTTTCCTAATTAAATCCAGACAGAAAGATAAGACCAGGGCAATAACAGACTCGGTCATTGTCGACTTTCTGATGCTTCAATCATGCCTTTTTGCTTTTTGGCTACTCCAAAACAGTCGTCTGAACCTTTATCTTTGTTCATTACGTGGGTTTGAAGCAGACTTTTTTTCCTGAAGGGATTTTGAAATAAAAGTCACCCAAAATTATAAGTAGGCCATGTAAGTGTTGTCTGAGCCACCTGCACAGGTCCGAGGAGAACATGTAGAGCATTTCATTCTTTGTGAGGACAGAGTGGAAGGAGGCGCCGTTGGTTCCGTTGATCATGTTGCACTCATCAGACGTCCACCAATTCAACGACCTGCATGTATAAACAAACACATTTATGGTAGTTTTGTATGCAGGTTGGCGTTCATTTTCATAGAGCATTCAGGATTTACTGAAATAAAAAAAAAACATTTTCATATATTCTTTTTAAGTGGTGCTTAGGAAAATAGAGAGAACCATGCTTAAAAGAAGATATTTTGGGGAAAACTGACTCGTTAAAGGAAAATATTCATTGATCTTAACAAACTTCACACCAATCAGACAAGGAATTGTACGACTTGATGCGAACTCAGCAAAAATCATCTCATTCAAAAGCTCACTGATTGTTGACCGAATGTATCAGTACGAACTCAGCAAAAATCATCTCATTCAATCAAAAGCTCACTGATTGTTGACCGAATGTATCAGTTGTGACAGAGGTAAGGTGAGTGAGCACGATTACCTTTGATTGTTCCACGTATCCACTCGAGCAAAGTCCTTGTAGTCCTCCTGGCCTGTGTGGAACACGTATTCTCCATCATTGCTCGCATTGCTCTGGAATCACATCACAAAAGGGTTGTGTCAACAAAACACACAAAGATAAGCGCCAAAAAAATGGATTAAACTCCTCATGAGTTTTCATGACATGAATTCTCAGGACCTTGTAGAAGAGCCCGAAAACCGGATCCACGTCAGGTTTGACAGCGTGGATGTCTTTCAGGAGAGCATCTTCGTAGCCCCACAGAAGCTCTCCCACAGTATGTGTGGTGAAGAGGCCCTCGTCTGTGCCCTTCATAATCAACGAGATCAGCTTGGCAAAAAATGGCTCATCCTTGAACCGCTCCATCAATGTCTAAACGGCAGGCAGAGAGAAAGAAAGAGAAAGAGAGAACAGCGTTTTTCCTCCTCATGGGTCAAAGTGACCGAAGTCAGCTTGAAGTCAAATGCAAACGTGAGGAGACATGCTCACCACCGCAGGGACGTTAACAGTCCTGATCAGTTCACTCTCCGGCCCACGTGACATGTCGGGTTGGAATATGTATGTTTTTGTGTTGACCGCGGCTACTTTGGTACCGTTATCATGGAATATCACTTCTTCCATAGGCCGGTACTCTCTGAGTTTAACAAAATGAAATGAAACAAGTGGGTTAGAGTGAACACAGAGAACCCAGTCCTGAGGGTGTTGCAGTATTTCCTCATATAAAGCCGTCACGCCCCAATAACGCACTGTGGAAAATTAGCTTAACTGACATAATTGATCCGAAAACTATAGCTGTTCTCAGTATAAGGATCTCAAAATTTAAACCGAGCAGATTTTGAATTTAATGAAACTTGGTGCACTTGTCAGTCGTGACAATATTAAATCTCACATTTTAGGCTAATCAGAGTTACGGCCCATTGAATTATGACATTTTCGGCAAATAGGGGGATGGGAATCGTGAACAAATGCCTGCTACTGTGTTGAGTACTGCCTACCTGTACACTTCATTCTGTCGTTTAATTCACCCCCTATTACCTGTAAGTGTACGGTCCAATCTCCACCACAGCAGGCCTGTCACCATCCAGCACCTCGAGTGGATTGGTCAGGTTGAAGAAATAAAACTGCATGTAGATCGGCGCCGGTGGATCCTCCCAAGCATCGAACGCATCGGTGCCATTCTTCAACACGATTTCCTGTTGAGAGGACACAGATGTTTAGTTTCAGATGAGAAGATTTAAAAATAAATGAATAAATACATTCAAAAATCGGAATCATCTTTATAGGTATGTTACAACACACAAGGAAATTGTCCCCGGTACTCTGAGTCACACTGATATTACAGCAACAAGCAACCATAACAAAAAGAACATTTAGGAGGTAAAATAAGATGCTGACAAAGCTGAAATTGGTATCACGTGGGGAGGGTCAGATGGCAGTATTTCACAACAAAAGGAGGCCAGTGCGGGATTAAACAAACAAGGTCTTATTTTTAGTCTTAAAGTGTGCCCAACCGAGGCCATCATGTGTGCTACATTTAATATTACTGGTGATAGCCGCAAGGTTACGCAGATGTCAGACTACCGATGGTGTTCGCTCACCTTTTCCACCGCCGACTCCACCAGTTTTGAAAACACGTTAGACAAGGACAGCGCGATCCCCCCAATGAGAATTAAAAACGAAAATAATCCGCACGCATAAATAAAACATGATTTAATCATGACGGGGCGGCACTGGATCACGTCAGAAGCTGACAAGTGATGCTAAAAATGACACCAACGCCCCAGAAATACGCGCAGTTATTGTTTTGGTCTACCCGGAAGTCGCGCAAGGAAACAAAGACGAAATACCAAAATAAAATACCACACTCAAGCGTTTTCCTGTTTCTTCGAGAGTTGCGTATTTCTTTTTGAATACAGTACTGTATAACCACAAAACACGCAATGTGTAACTCATACAACTTCAGTAATACGTAACTTCATAGTTTTGAGATATTTGGTTTTATAGCGCCAATTGAAACGTTTTAACACACAACCTGCCTGTTTGTGCTCCCATTTACTATCTTGCCGATTATTGCGCTTTGTAATATATCACGTGACATTTACGAACCTCATTTTCGTGGTTCGCCCGGAGTTATTTTTTTAATAGCCTTTCATATTAGTAAACGTTAATCGCATTTTAGAATTGCCTTTTTGTAGGTAAAAAGTTTCAAGATTTCTCTTCAATTCTCAAGTCTTAGTTTTTGTCAAGTCACAAGTCATCAAAAGAGTGACTCGAGTCAAGTGCAGCCTCACCACCAAGCACACAGAGTTTACAGTTTTCATCGTCAGTGTCTGCTTGGAGCTAATTTATATCGGAACGCGTGGTAGCTATACCAACATGCATTTCTAAGAGCAAAACATTACGTTGTACAAAAAAATTGGAACCTGTTAGTGACATTGACTCCAACAGCATCTCCACTAGAGGGCAGTGTCTTTCTTTTCTTTTTTTTAATTAATCTTCTCAAGAAAAAGTCAGTTCATTATTGATGTCGATCAATCAACAATTCTGACCACCCCTATCAAAATCATTCAGATAGATTCTGACTGAATGTGTTTGACAAAAAATGTTCGTGCCAAAACTGACGACTTAATTTCTTTGAGCGCTAAATATTTTCAGAGACATAAAAAACCTCGTTCACCTCTGTGAAATCTAAGGAAGTGATAACTGCCGTAATCTCATTTTCTTTCCAGCACTGTATGCTTGATTGGTTTCGCTCTTCTTCTTTTATTGACATATTTACACTCATAACACATTTGCTTTTGTCTTCGTGTCAGCTTGTATAAGGTTGCAATAAACCCTCATCTGAGTTCACCAAATCAGATCAACACATTGCATCCTTAAAGCGCTGACATGTTGCTGCTTGCATTGATAACTTTTTTTTACTGCACTGTGGTTGCATCATCGACCAACATGCACCAACTCACTCACATAGTTTAAATGCAAAAGAAACCAAATATCTGTGGTGCAAATGCAAAATGAATCAAGTATACAGTACAGACAAAAGCTTATGACGTACAAAAATGGCTATTCCCAGTTGAAGTTTACTGTCAAACTCACCAGCCAAACAAAAGAAAAATAATACTTGGAGATACTTTTGAGTTGGGGTTTTTGTTTTGTGCTGTCAGTGTTTCTCAGTGTGGTACGGCAAGTGGCACGAGGGCTCCCTCTGGTGATAGACTAAAGAGTCACTGAATTAAATTTAGAAACTATGCATCCAGAACAGTACATTTTCGAAGTATCGATCAGAACGTTTTTTTTAATTAACATTTAAGTCTCATTTTTATTTAACGTGTTTTACATTTTAAATGCACCTTTATTTCTAGCTTTATCCGTATTTCCGTTCCAACGAGCTGCGAAATCCTTCCATGCAGTTCATGAATGAAGCACAAAGGAGGACCCCCCCCCTCCCTCCTCCCCCCTCCCCCCCCGCCTCCCCATCTCGGTCACGAGAGCCCGGGGCGCTATGACGTCACACTCCACAGGCAGTCAACAGCCTAGTGTGTGGAGGGAGGGGGTTCGGCAACAGCCCCAACTTTTAATGTATGCGGCCGGGGCCGATCCGGGCCAGTGTGTCGGTCGGTCCGCCCGCCCGCCCGCACTGTTTTCTTCAGCTTTCTCTGCATCCTCCCACTCGAGCGGCGGCAGAACAACGACTCGCTGTTCGCTAGCTAATCCGCTTTTTGGTTCCTATTAGGAGGATCTCCAGCCCATTCTGCGACTCCATAAAAAAAGGGTAAGTAAGCGTATTCTGCAAATAACAGCGTGCGACTTAGACAATTCGCCTTCTAAGAGTTGTTTGTTGCAGTCTCGCGCTCGCCAAGTGTTTCGGCGGCGAAGATGCACGTCGCGCGTCTTTCGCTACTTTGGTATCGCTTGTTTTTGCAAACAATTCATTTGCACTGTTCGCGGGCACGATGCAAAAAAAGGCTGACAACTTGAACATGCTCTTGGATTATTTGTACACTGCAAACACGTTTACTCAAGATCCAGACCATTTATATTGCGCAAACATAAATGTTGGTGCAGGTATTTACAGTAAATTGTTTGAACGCAACCACAAAAGAATTTGAATTCATCTGTTTGTGGGACAGCCTGTTTTAAGTCACATTACAACATGATTAACTCACCAAAGTGTAAAAAGAAGTGAACTGGTGAAGAGAAACGGTGAATTGTGAGCACTCTGCTAACGTTGACTTTTAAGTTTCAGCATGCTTAACTGTCATACAAGTGGAAGAAGAAGTTAACCTCTTTTTTCATGAAAAATTCAAAGCAAGTGTGTAAATTTGCTAGGGAAATTTGGAAATATTCCAAATTACAAATCCTCGATGGAAACTATGGATGTGTAGGAATGAATGGGATTAAACTGCAAATAGAGATTTAACGGTATCTCATTCAAGCATGAATATAACCATTTTGTTTTGTCAAACATACATCCAGGCAAACTCGGTAGCGCATTAGTATATCAATTGCTAATTTTTCCTCCCATTTTACCCAAGAACACTTGGGTGTAACTCAGTGTTGTCTGACAAAACATTCATCCTTCCATCCACCCGCAAACCCATCCATCCGAACTGCTTATCCTCACAAAACAACAACAACAACCGGTGAGGAGAAGTCACAGAAAAGCAAATTAAATGCAAAGAACAACCCTTGACATGCTGACTTAGCTGAAGTGTCACGTGATTGTAGCTCAAACACTGAAACATCGTTATATCACTTTCGACTCGTCAGTCGGACTGGACAATGACACAATCTGATCAATAATCGTACTTCTACTTTATTGGTTGGGATAATTTGATAAAAATTTCTTTGTGGAAAGAAAAAAGATGAATTTCAATCATTTCTGAGGTAGTTGGAGGTTAAAAAAAAAATTAAGGTAAACCTGAATGCTGTCATTGACATTTGCCTTTTGTAAAAGCGAAAGACGAAAACTGCCAGAGCAAAATCAGTTATTGGATTTTGCCAGGGGGAAAAAAAATAAATATAAGGGCGTATTACCCTGCTCTACTCTATAGACATATTTTTCCCTGTATAAAAACTGTAATATATGAAAAGAGGAGGTGCCCAACATCAGTGTGTGTCTGCCCCCACTAACACTCTATAAAATCTGACCAGGTTCTTCCCCCTGCGTCCATTTAAAGAGGCAAACGCTGGCAGGTAACTGTGACATTCAAATATCTCGGCATTGCTTACATGCTTGAAATACAAGCAGCTACAGGAGAGCAAAAGTAGAATAACCTCGTTACAAGGCTGGAATGTTCGCTGGGATACTTTGGCAGGTAAATCATGGACAAGGTCTTCTTGGCCACGAAAATAAAAAAGAAAGAAAGAAAAAGAAAAATGGCGCTTGCTTGAGGGAACTAAGGCAGAAATACGGTTGCCAGACATCCCGGAGGGTTTGGAGGTGATTTAGAACAACGGAAGAAAGCACCGAAAGCTGGAAACCATTTGCAGTGAGGTTGAAATTAGAATAGCATGTGCGGTGTCTACTTCGAAACAGCCCGTCGCTTGGGGGATTTAGTGAAATGTACTTTTTTTTTTGCTGCTGGACACCTCAAATCAAAAGATACGTTTGAGAAAAAAAAAACACTTGAGTGAAATGAGTCAGTGCTTCAACATTTGTGGGTTTTTTTTTCCCCTCCTCTCTCTCCCTTTCTTCCAGCTGTAAGTGAGCGAGCGACTACATGGACTACTAGACCGAACATGAAGAGCCTTAAAGCCAAGTTCAGGAAAACTGATGTAAGTACTAAAACATATGCTCGTGACTAAGTAATAAGTGCGCGCACATGCCCGCATGGCAGAGGGCCGTGTTACATCTTGGGAAGCTGTGGCTGATTTGTAGCCACCTCTCTCGACCCCCGGGCTGCACCAATGACTGATATTTTTGCAAGAACAACAAAATAGAGCAAACGGTTTGAAATCATAACAGTCGTATAATCCACTTGAGCCCCCCCCCCCCTGCGCGCTTTTGTAAACAGAAAACACATGAGAAAAGCTCCGTGTGCCATGGCATGCTCTGACAGATTTAATTGCGGGTGCCACGAGAAGGCTAGCACCTCCTCGAAAAAAATGAGGTCACAGTCGGGAGACGAGGTCGAGAAGCCGTGATTGATGGCGTTGGAGCGGCGCGAAACAAACCGTACTTTTCTCACAGTGACTCATCTAAGAGGACCACATTGTGGGAGTGCCGGGCTTAATTCCAGCAAAGCGCCGCAGTTGTGCAGATCTCGACGAGCACAGTTTACCCTGCAGATGATTAATCCATCTTTTGGGAAAGAACGGTTGTATCTCTGCCTCGCCGTCCAACATATTGAACACTCACAGGAAGTGAGGCGTCTCCGCTGAGTCTGACTCATTCGCTGTCACCGTAGTCCTGTCGGCGACAGAGCTCAACAGCAGACAGGAAAAGTCTGGAAGTTCCCGGGTTAACTTGGATTTGAAGAGGAAGTTGATGAAGTCGAAGATTGGTGAATAGGGACCACCATGTTTGTCTCAGATGTATTTATTTATTTATTTATTGGCCAATATGCGACATGTGTCTGATTTTTTTATACAATTCGGATTTTTTTTCAAATCGGATATGTATCCACTGCGTCTGCAGAATAGAAGAAATATGTGTTGCGCAACCATTGAGGCTTCTGCTGTAAAATTTAAAAAAAAAAAAGGTCAGATAAAGCCAACTAGAACAAGTAAAAGTCATTTGGGGTTACTCGGAGGCACATTCAATGGCGACATGTGTGTCTCATCTTACAATGTATGTGTAAATTGGCATTTCTGGAAATAGAATCCATAATT